TGTTTTTATTGATCTCCTGTAGGTAGCTACCTATTCAAAAAGCTTTGGTAATTCTAACAAAACACATTGTTAGAAGAGCAATAATTGGCATTAAAAAACAAGTATAAATTATTATTGTTCCAAAAAAATGATGTGATTGCAGATAATATATAATATGGTTAATGTAAATTAGTAAAAAGGTAATTGCATCAATACTAGATTGCAATAGCAACAATATTTTCGTTGTTTTTAAAATATTTATATTTATGAGAAGCATGCAACTTTGGTAGGACAAGCAATATAATCTAGTTGCAGAAAACAATAATATTATATGTGAAGGAACAATAACATTTAACAATATATTTATGATACATTTAACTATATGTGTGGTTGTGCCTATATCAACTGTATTATATTGTTGCATTATACATATTTCTGGTTGTGACAGCGAAATTTTCTCTGAGTGGGAAATCGTCGTTATTAAAGAATTTTAAATTTATGTAATGCAGAAACTTATGCTGCACACGTTCAAGTCTGTGTATGTTATTCGCATATGAGGGCTTCCAAACTGAAGAGGCATAATCCAATCTTGCTCGAACAAGACTGAAATAGAGAATCTTAAGAGAGGTTATGGTGAGAAACTCTTCTGATTTTTTTTTAATGAAACCCAACATCATAAATGACTTGCTTATTATATTCGATGTATGCTCTATTGTAACCCCTTTTGTTAATGAATTAACCAGAGGCCCATAATATGCTCGGTTTGCTTAGAGAAAAAAATATTAGGTGTGGGTTGATAGGGCATTCCAACGAACTGTCAAAATGACGGGTGTCAAAAGTTATCCAGGGCAGGCAAATGTTGAAGTGAGCAAAAATATTGGTGAAATGCCTGCATTTTGTTGTGTAGTGAAATGAAATAGTAGGGGATAACGCGACAGCGTTAAATTTTCTAAAATACCATCGGAACTGAATCGAAAGCATCCTGATAAAGTTTAACAGACAAATTAGAAGACAAAGCTGGATGAATGCAATCAAACGTGAAGATTTAACTGGCAGTGAGTTAAAATATGCTGTAGTTTGTTCGAGATATATTAGTACTTATTATCAAGTATTAATACTTTAGAGTAACTGAGCAACTATTATTATTAAAAAATGTATATTAAAATGACGCGTGTATGGCAATGGCGCCACTGAATTTAAAAAAAAAAATGTATAAAATTGCATAAAATATGGAAGTGTGAAAATTCAAACACAAATAAAACGGTAATCACGAGACTTTTTATTTAAACTCTTTTGGTAATCAATGGATTATTGCCTTGCACGGCTTTATTTCGCTGAGATAAGATAATGCCTGTAGGCCGATAAGGTACTTTTTCCACGAGAACGGTAATCGATAATTCATTCAGTAGGAAGATGACTGGCCCCCCTAGGCACAGTCGATCTTCCAGGACAACGACCAGATGAGAAAAGGGACTCTTCAATTTTCTCTTCAAGAATAATAAAAATCACTTGACAGTTTTGAAGGAAAATACTGTCAACCTGTCGACCCTAAAGTACTACGTTCGAAAACTATGAACGAGGTTAAAGAGCCACGGGGCGCGTTCAAAGACGGCAATGCTAATGCCAAAACCTACTTTTCCCCCTCCACCGGTAATGCCGAACCACGTAGGTTGGAGCCGAACTCGAACGCAAAATGCCAATTTTGGCTTGGCTGTAGCCATTCCTGAACGCAGCCCAGAACTACTAAAGTCTGTTTTTTTTTTAAAGATAAAAGTCAAAATGACATTATGTTGGCAATACAATGTAAAATTATCAATGCATCCAATTTTTTTATGTAGAAAAGGCTTGTGTTGCCAACATAGTTACTAAATTTTTGACTTGGGGAATTATCTTAAAAAAAAAAACAGATTTTATGTCCTCTCAAAGGCTTGAATTCACCGATAAAATAATACATTCAGCAGACCACTTTCTGACCTTACTTGAAGAAAAAATCTTAACAGTGCGAAAAAAAATGCATCTTTACCCTTATATTTCACATTTTATTAGAAAAAGATGGGAATATACTCAGTGCACACTGATCGATGAATGGAAATCGAAAACTTCAACATAGGTCAGAAAATGGTCAGTTCGTAAGCAGCTACAATGTATGAAAGAGCCAGGTCAAGAGTAACACCCAAATCAGTGATGGTCGCAATAGATAATAGAATCTCCCCATTGATTAGGTAATTGAAGCTAATTTGATGACGCAACCTAGAAAACTTCATCAGCTTGCACTTGGACACATCGAGCTCCATTTCATTGTTGCGACACCATTGTGTAAATCTATTGAGATCAGCCTGCAGCAACTGGCAATCCTCAGAAGTGACAACCGTCCTGAACAGTTTCAAATCATCCGCAAATAGAATAAATTTAGAGGACAACAAACCATTGGAAACATCATTTATAAATAGATTGAAAAAAAGCGGACCCACATGGGATCCTCAAAGAACTCCTGATGATACAGAAACTTCACCGGATAGGAAATTATTCGCCTTCACCAATTGGGTACGATCCCCCCAGTAGTGGACCCGATATACCCAGTGTTCTGAGCTTGTTCAACATAAGCGTGTGGGGAACTTTATCGAAGACCTTGGTGAAATCCGTGTGAACAGAATGAACCTCCGGGCCGCTTTCCAAAGTTTCAAGCACCGAGTGAGAATATGTAAGAAAGGTTAGCTCTGTGCTTTTCCAGGGGCAAAATCCAAATTGCTCGCTAATTATCATCGTTGACAACGCCGAAGTTAGGTACCGAGAAACAAGTATTTCAAAAATGATCGGAATCACATTCAAAATGCTGATAGTTCTGTAACTGTAAAAAAAAGCAATACCAGGAAGCAAAAGCATAAGTTCATTGGCGAGCATCAAAGAACCAATGGTGGATAACAAAATAAAATGAAATGCAGCAACTAGCTGAATCCAACAGCACCAGGGCCTTCTTTTAGGCTACCACTCAAGGACTCAATCCCCTTCGATCCAAAGATGGTACAACACCATTAATTCAGGTTGGAAGGAACACTTTCAGGAGGTACTCAACAGATAATCACAAATTGATGATGACATCTTCAACGAAATTCCACAAAAACCAATATAACAAGAACTGAGCAAGTTTCCTAGTTTAGAGGAGGTTGAAAAGTTGTTGAATTCTTTATAAAAGGCCCCACTAGGTCTCTGTTGGGGGTGAGATATTTAACAGAGTATTATGAAATCGTCTAATCCCAACCGCCGAAGAGAACCTCCCAGAGACACAGTATTGCTTAAGACCCAACCGAAATACAGCTGACAAAATTTTCAGGGCGAGACAAATTCAAGAGAAATCAAGAGAATAGAATCGCCCTATTAAAATGCCACCGTCTTGAGCAACGATAGACAAGGAGAATCTTCTCAAATAAGTACAGGCGTTGAACAGGGCTCTGTTAATGCACCCACTCTATTTTTTTTATTTTAAAGGATCCATGCTTCACCTTGTCGAGGGTCAACTTACGTCAGGAGTGGAAATCCTGTGCAGAATGGATGGCGGCTTAGTCAACCTAAAAGATTACGAACCAAGACGAAAGTATCGACGAAATCGATAATTGACCTTCAATTTGCGTATGATTACGTCGTGATGGCCAATAATAATTATTAAGAGGAAGATCTTCGGGCAGTTATCAATGCATCCAACCAGGTATATAGGAGAATCGGCCTTGAGGTCAACTTTAACAAGACGCAGATTCTGCACCAACTCGCCCGGGCACTAATCCCCAAGCCCCAAATGTAACTATAAATGACCATTCCTTGCAGAACGTAGAGCCCCAAACTAACCCATACCATAGCAACAAATGCAAGCATTCACAGCGAAATCCAACATCGCTTGAAGTGGGCTAGCGCAGCGTTGCGCGACTTTTAGAGAGAGTCTTCAACAATCGTGACATCAGCGATGAGATCAAACTCCGCCTCTACAGTGCAGTTGTAATATCAACACTCACATTTGGCTGCGAAACATTAAGGAAAATAAAAAGCCTAGAAAAATTCTGCTAGTGATACCTAAGAAGGATCCTACGGATTAAATGGCAAGACCGATAAACGAATATTAGTGTTTTAGGGAAGGCCAAAAGAACTAACTTATCATAAAGCAACTTCGCTGGTCAGGTCACCTCGTCCGCATGCCCGAAACACGTCTTCCATGGCAGATTCTTTACAGTCAACTGCCAGTGAAAACGAAATCAAGAAGGTCAACAAAAACGCAACCTATAAAAATATGTTCGTGAGGAAAATTTGGCAAAGTTCAGCATCGATACCAACAACTGGGTGACGACGGCAAATGATAGGCCCTTATGGCGTGGAGTATTTCACGACGGACCACAAACTTTTGAAGAACAGCGACGCAGACAGGAGATCGAAAAGAGGGACCGCAGGAAGGAGCAAGGGAACAGAGGAAGAGACAATGCTGCCAGAGGCCGGGTCTGCCAAGACTGTGACAGAATGTGCGGTTCCAGAATTGGTTTATATAGCAATCAGAAAATTAAATAGGAGATAATCATACTCGGTATCGAGTGATCGACTATGATAATCATGACTGACGGTAGTTTTAATTTTAAAATGTCTCGAGTTGTTATTCAGTAGAGCCTAATGATTTTTGATCTCCTCATGGGGAGAGATTAAGGAATTTTCATTGCGCGTGGAGTTATTAGTAAGTCCCAGCTTTTTGAATCGTATCTGATTCCAGAAAGTGATTATTCGGAATTATTGTTCTTCGTAGAATATTATAAGGATTAAAATGCTTTTGTTATGAGTTATTGAATGTTATACATATTTGGAATCTATGTGAAAATGTAGACATAAGAATAATTACCTATCTGGTATAAATTAAAAACATGATTAATAAATAACGTAATGGTTATTCTTAGTATACTAGGAGAATAATATCCTAATATTATCCGAATTTCTTGAATGAATATTTCTTGGCTATATCAACGACTATTATCATCTATGTCTTTTTTGAGCCTTTAGATCGAGATCAGCCCAATGGCAGACCGCAATGGCGATTCACAGTGTTTGCTCAGGACGAAGGAGGCGAAGGACTTGTGGGCTACGCAGATGTCCAGGTTAATCTCAAGGATGTTAATGATAATGCCCCAGTTTTTCACGAGGGAGTCTACTTTGGAAATGTGACTGAGAATGGTACTGTTCAAATGACTGTCATGAATATGACTGCGATTGATTATGACGATCCATCGGAGGGTATGAATCTGTATTATCCAAATCATTTAAAAAACCTAATAAGCTTATCAGTTTAAAATTCCGGGTTTCCACATTTAATACGATAAAATCAATATGCCTAAATTTTGTTTTGTTTCAGGTTCTAACGCGAAAATAATTTATTCGATCGAAAAGAACGTCATAGAAGAAGAAACAGGCTTACCAATTTTCGAAATAGATCCGGAAACGGGAATAATAAAAACTGCAGTGTGTTGTTTGGATCGCGAACGTACTCCCGATTACTCCATTCAAGTTGTTGCCATGGACGGTGGCGGCTTAAAAGGAACAGGAACGGCCAGTATACGACTGAAAGATATAAACGATATGCCGCCCGCCTTTACGAAAGACGAATGGTTCACTGAAGTAGATGAAACGAATGGCACTAGTTTACTACAAACGCCTATTTTGACCGTAACTGTACATGACGAGGACGAGACTAATAACTTCAAATATAAGGTAATTTGATGTTTTAGGTATTTCAAATATTTTCCTTACGGTTGGGGACTCACGTAAACTAAAGTGGAAAAACAAAATTCCTGGACGAGAATTTCAGGCCCTTCGGTAATAATCTAAAAGCCCAGACCCGTCTACGCAATCGGGCGAAGTTCTTAGTGAACCTTATACATACATATAGTTATATTATACTTCAAATAATTTTCAAAACAAATTTATTAAAAGTCGATGAAAAAAAGGAAAATTTAGAAATCTCGCTACACTAATCCATTCGTAAAAATGCGTAGTCCCAGTTTTTATAACTATTAGCGGGCCAATTTTTCTTGAATCAGTAACAATAGTAATTTCAACCAAATAATCTTATTTTTACCGAAATTTTTACCAACAACTAATTGATGGTGTAAACAATAATTTGTGCCTTATTATGTTTTGTAATTCAAGACACGTACATTGAGTACATTAAAGCTAAAGTGTTTGAGTTTAAAGTTTTCAAATTTATTCTAAATTCCACACGGGATCTGCTAGAAGGCGTGTTTTAAATGCTATTTAAAGGAACGTTATCCTATACTCACTTCACCTTAAATTCACGAAACTCAGCTTATAAAGGGCGATAGCTCTCCGTAGATAATGGAGAATAGGGTTTATAAGATGCTCTTGGTAACTTTAAACGTATCACTTTGGAAATAGGATATTTTAACACATATACACAGTTTATATTTTATGTGTTTATGTGAAGTGAGAAAATGCTTCTTTTTTGAGAAATTTTTAATTTTCATTTTAAGACCTGGCTTTTCCTATTGAAATATCAAGAAAACCGTCAAAATTTATTGTTTCAAATTCTAGGTAGTAGAAAACAGTGGATATGGAGCCGACAAGTTTGTCATGATAAGAAACAGCGACAGCACCGGTTCTCTGGTGATAACCGAGCCTCTGGATTTCGAAGATCCTCACCAAAGCCACGGTTTTCGTTTTCGCATCCAAGTCAACGACAAGGGCGACGATAACAACAACGATTTGGACCATGTGGCTTATTCATGGGTGGTAGTAAAGCTTCGGGATATCAATGATAATGTGCCCAAATTTAGACAATCCAGCATTGAAGTTAGCGTGCCAGAGGACATGCAAGTGGGTAAAAGTTTGGCAAGCTTTTTAGCTACGGATCCTGATCGAGCTGGTAAAAGCAAGGTAAAACAATTTATGTAAGTTTGATAAAATTAAAAATTTCTGAATAAAATTCCAGGTTTCATACACAATTGATAGAAATTTCGATAGAATGCGGCAATTTTCGATTAACGAAGAAGGAATAGTCAGCATCCAAAGAAAACTGGATCGGGAACTCAGGCCTAAGCACCAAACTAGAATATTAGCTATCGATGATGGTGTTCCTCCGAAAACTGCCACCGCTACGTTAATAGTCACAGTCAAAGATATTAATGATAATGCTCCTAGATTTCTCAAAGATTACAGACCTGTTATAACTGAGAATGAAGGCCCTGGAAAGGTAAAAACTATTTATATTAAGTATTTAGCTCTAGAAAAAGTGATATTTTCTAGGTGGCTGAAATATTTGCAATAGACGACGACGACAGGTCCCTAGGTAACGGGCCACCATATCAGTTTAAATTAGACCCCAGGGCTAATGATTCAATACATTCCAGCTTTAGAGTAACTCAGAGTAAGTAGTATTCGATAGGTGTGAAACATGCTAACGCAAATTATTTTAACAGTTGCGAATGGAAATGGTATGGCCGTAGTGACATCCTTGCGTCCATTCGACAGAGAACAGCAAAAAGAGTTTCATATTCCAATCATTATTAAGGATAATGGTATTCCAAGTATGGCTGGGACTAGTACACTGACCGTGGTGGTGGGCGACATTAATGACAATAAAATGCAACCAGGATCAAAAAATATATTGATTTACAATATTCTGGGTTTGTATTAATTAAGTGATTATTATAATATGGAAAATAAATATTATTGTGCAGGTCAAGCGCCCGAAACAAATATTGGTCGAGTGTACGTTCACGATTTGGATGATTGGGATTTACCCGATAAGACATTCTATTGGGAGCATATTAATTCGGAACATTCGAAATTTCGGCTTGACGAAGATACGGGAATGATATCTGTGCGACAAGGGACCAGAGCCGGGATTTATCATTTAAGATTTAAGGTAAGACTAAGCCAGATGAGGGTATGATGGACTTTGCAGATTTGATTGAATGTGTTTCAAATAAAAACATACAAGAATCGATTTCGAAAATGTTCAAGTCGTCGGCAAATAATGCAACTGCTATTTTATAAAGAGTTATTATAAATTAATCCCGATACATAAAGTTTCTTTCAGGTCTATGATAGAAAGTATTTGCAAACTGTTTCCGCTACTGTAACTGTAAGAATAAAAGAGATAGCTCAGGAGGCTATCATCAACTCAGCCTCACTTAGAATAGCTGGAATCACCGATGAAGAATTTATAAAAATATGGGAGTATAAATTACAGGTTGTAACTTCTACGTTTAATCGCATAGTTATCATTAAGTTTAAGTAATTTTTAGAATATTGCACAGTCGAAAGCTGACCAATTAGCTAGAAAAATTGCAGAGTTGCTAAATATAAATCAGGAAAATGTTGACATCTTCAGTGTTCAACTTCGAAGCAGGTATCCACCTGTAATAGATGTCAGATTATCGACTCACGAAAACTTGCATTATCATAAACCTGTGAGACTGAATGGAGTGATTTTGATGAATCGGAAGGAAATCGAAGAGGCGATTGGGATAAACATTACCATGGTAAGTTGGTAATATATTGAAAATAATTTTCTTCTTCTATGCCCGTAGCTTCATCAGCCCTGTAAAACTGGCGTTATTCTCGTAATCTTCACCGATTTTAAAAAATTTTAAGCGTGATTTTATTTCATGAGCTAGAAATTTTTTAAGCGCTGCTAAGATTACCTTTATTATTAATTATATGATACATGTTGTTCAATTTATCAGCTTTAGGGCCTAGTGGTTCTCTTCAGAGGTTAGAATATCAATAACAAGTTGGCTCAGTTCTATATTACTTGCTGTGAACTCTGTATTTCAAACAAGTTACACTTTTCTTGTTGCATCATGATCTTCACATCCTCGTAAATGCATCTGAATCTATACGTTATAGCTATACCTACAGCCATGATTAGGTCCTAAAGCCGAACAGACTACTATTAGCCATTTAAAGTATGACGTGCCTCAACATAACTGGTGGATGTAGTTGAAAACCAGACCAACTAAGGTTTGGGAAGAAATTCTATTTTTGACGCCCTTGGACATTTATGTCAAGAAGGCTGTTTTAACCACAATGATGCGCTTCCGCGCTCTTGATACAGTATCAAGTGCAAAAGTCGGTTTGCAGTTTTGCAGAGAACCCGCATAAGGCACGAGGCAGAGACACCATACTTGGCGCTTAAGAATATGCGGCCATTATGTTTAATGGCATCCAGGAAACTGGAGAAGGTCTAGTTCAGACCAGAAGACCACCAATGAACGTCGTTAGGCTGGTAGCTCAAGCAGAAGAAGACAAACAATTGACCAAAAGAATTAGAAGAAGTTACACAAGCTAACAAGTAGGTATACAGAAGTTGATGAAATTTGTGAAGAATTATTTGACCAAACAACAATAAGGAGTAAAGACAACACATTCACAGTTGGAATTTCTTTTAAAAACTCAACCAGTTACTTAGGGCAGTCAAAACCAGAGGCGAGAATACTGAGCCTAGAAAAGAAATTTGAACAAGATCAGAATCTTGAACAGGAATACTCAAAGTTCATGACAGAATACTTAGAGCTCGGACACATATATGGTAAAGGTTCCAAGCGGCAAATTAACGAAGAGGATTATTATATACTCCATCAACCCATTGTGAAAGAATCAAGCACAACTAGGTACACGACCACGAGTTGTTTTTGATGCATCTAGCAAAAGAAACATCTGGAACAAACCTTAGCAAAATCATGCACGCTGGTCCCAGAATACAGCAGCATTTAGCAGATATCCTTGTTAGATGGAGAAAACACAACGTAGCATTCACTGCGGGTTTCGAGAAAATGTATCATCAGATTTGAATTCACCTCGATTATCAATCATGCCAAAGGATACTATGGAGAGCCGAAAAATAAAATCAGAGCCCATTTGTGAGTATCACCTTACAACTATTACGTGTGAGACGACTTCAGCGCCGTATCTCGCGATCAAGACACTGCAGACTTTAGCGCAACCAGAGAAACACCATTATCCAAAAGCGATTCAAGTTACGCTGCGAGATTTTTATGTAGATGACATCCTACCCGGAGCAGACACTATCGACTCCGCAATAGAACCACAAAGGCAGGTGCCAGATGTCAAGATCTGCTGGGTTCAATGTATGTAAATGGTCGACCAACAACAGCGATGTTCTTCAGAACGTTTCAAGGAAAATCCAAGAACAAATACTCCACCAGTTATCACACGATGATACGACAAAATCGGAATCGGTTGGGATATTATCGTCTACAACTGACGATGCATTCAGATTTGGAGTATCAGTTTAACAGAATCAAACGCTAACAAAAAGGCACATATTATCTGAGATATTAAAACTATTGGACTTGAGGGAAATTGAGCATACCTTTAAGGATATTAAGAGTAAGAATGCAGCTGGATACCCAGCTACCCACAATGGTCAAGGTTATTAAAAGGCTAATTAAAAACAGAGTTGTGGTTTTCCTGCATAAGAATACACTGTTGAGTTTGGCTCAGTTTGGGTTTCAGAGTGGTGTGGGCACTGAGCAGTTTTCGTATTTCTTGAAGATCTGTACTTCCAGTTTAACGAGAGAGAGGCGGCTGCGGCAGTGTTTTATGACCTAACAAAAGCCTTTGACTATGTGGATCATGGAAAACTGTTGCAGAAGCTTGGACGGTATGGTTTCAGGGGTACTTCGTTGAGTTGCTTTTGGTCTTGTCTTTCGGGTATTGGGACCCATTTTATTTCTGAATTATATCAATGATATGACTTATGGCACAGCAAGAGTTCTGGTCAAATTGGTGGTAGATGATATCAATAGGGTGAATAAGGCTGGTGTGATGCAAACCGCCTTACTTTCCATATCTCGAAAAGTAATAGTTTAAACTTTAATTGTCATATAGGTGATATAAACCTCGGCAGTAGTCCAATCTCTAACAACCTTAATGCAAAGTTTTTGGGTATCAATATAGATAATAGGTTGTCTTTCAGGAACCACATAATGAACTTGTGTAACAAATTGGCCTCGGGGTGCTTTGCGGTAAGGGTGGTATCAAAGGAACTAAATTTAAGTATGACAAAATCGGTTTACTCCGCACTTATTGAGTCCCATTTAATATATAGGATATGCTTCTGCGAGCTATTTCCTGATAAATTCTATTTTTGTTCTTCAGAAAAGGGTTGTCAGGTATATGTGCGGGGTTGTGGCTAGGGTATCTTGTAAACCCTTGTTTATTCAAAATAACATCCTGACCCTGACAGGTATATTTATTTTGGAGACTGTCTGTTTAATGTTTAGGAAGTTTGGAGTGCGTCTCATTATAATACGCGTCAAATAGGCACTATACCCTTACCTATACCTCATACTGCACTTGTGAGGAATTCTTTGTTTTACCTTGGTAAAAAAATGTACAACCATTTGCTTATTAGCATAATATCCCTAAAATCCCTAATAAGATTCAAATTGGCTGTAAAGGAGCTTTTATCAAAGAAAGCCTACTAGTGTGACAGAATATTTTGAGGACTTTTATTTTATTGTTTTTCAGTCTTTGTTTATTTTTGAATTTTGATACATTTTTCTGTACCAAACATGTGAATGTGTCATCTGCAGTGGGTCCCGGAAAGATGTTGTCATTGAAGCAACAGGTGTTGTCCAATGTTGCGTTGCATGAGATCGGCTGTTTTTCGCGGTGAGCGGAGCTTGTGAAGGGTATCGCCGAAACATATAAAAATAGCCGTTTTGAGGCCAAAGGCAGTCTTCAGGCAGTGACTGAGACTTCATCTCGCCTGTCTGCCCCGTTTTCTACGCTAGAGACAAGAACAGCTCTCCCCTCATTTGTTCGACAGAAGTGCCGTGACATGTACCCAGCACTTAGGAGCGTGTAATGAGCTGGCAACGCTTTGCTGTGGGTCCCCTTGCCTTAGGGATCACTTTATGTGGCCGGTAAACGAACCTCTCATTGCGTTGTTGGTGCGAGCTACCGTCATAGGTACGAAGAAAGAAACGAGAGAGCCAACGTTACAATCCCTCGGGCGCGAAATAAGGCTTCCAGAAAAGCCCAGTTCGTCGCAAAAAAACCCGCATCAATCCTCGCACTGGAGGTTGATGTCCTGGGGAAGTACTTCGCATTAGCTTACCACCAATCCCGGATGAAGTCCTTTTCAGGGCAATTGAAATTGAAAAAGAAAATTCGTTTGATTCCTGGTTCTTGATTGAGCCTCGCGTTTCCAATTTGGCACATTCCTGCAGCTTTCCGTCTAAAAAATCTAGACTCCTCTCCCGCGTTTGTCACTTTTACTTTTGGAGATCTTCTTCAAAGGTTTCCGCCCCCCGTGTCCGTCCTCAACGATTTTCGTGAATTTTCTATGAAAATTTTCTTCTCTTCTGCAAGCTCCACGTCGAATTGAAACTCAAAAATCAAATAATCATTTTCTTCCTCCGAAGGCTCACCAAGTTGGGACAGAATTTGTTAAAAGACTAGAAAGTCTTAAGCTCGGTCTTCATTATCCAAGCTTGACTTTTTCGTGGGGCTTTTTTAGGAAAAATCTCAATTCCAGTTTAAATTAAAGCTAGATTAGCTTCGCCGAGTTGGGACAGAGTTTTATAAGAGGACAAAAGTCAAAACTACACCCAGCTTGAATTTTTCTTGAAATTTTTTACGGAAAAATCTCAATTTCATAACAAAGAAAAATGCTAGATTTGCCGCCAAGTTAGAACAGATTTTTATAAGAAGACTCTTTTTCACTTCAGTACAGACGAGACTTTAACAAAAATACACGAACCTTCAAAGTACCTTCAAAGGTTAGACTGGTTTTCACACCGTTTTGTTCACCCGTGTTTTTTTTTTGTCACTTAACTTCTCGAAGCCGCTCGACGGTTTCCTCAGAGTGCCATCTGAGCTTAACGTACTGTCGTTGCAAATAAAGGTTTCCAGACACCGTGCTAATACAACTTTGGCCTCTCGGACTTCAAAAAAAACCGAGTTGGAGCCCTGCTCCCAAATCATACAAAACACGTCAATTCTCGCTTCCTTTCTCTGGAAGCTGCTGGTTCGCAAGCTCATTCCTTAAAGAACCAGCGGGGTGGTTTTGGCGGGACCTGAGAAGTTGAACAAACACCCGTGGGAAACAAAAAGGGTTGTTGCTTCACCCCAAAAACAACTGGCTTCCCAAACCGACTTCAGACAATCAACAAAAATTATGGACAGATACAGTCCAGACCTATACGGCGCCACTCTAGACGAGTTAGACATGATTCTAAGTCAAGGCCCAATTCCTGCGGTCGTATTGTAGCATTTTTAAATTTCTTGTTTAATATGCTACTGTGTTTTGCTCTAGTAGATATGATGCTATATAGAACTATAAAGAAATAAATGAATGAACAACTATCTTTTCTGTGCCCAGATTTTATTACCTTGAGTACTGCCTTCTACTGAAAGTTTTTTAGCTCAGGTTTGCAAGTCTGGTTAATTGATCTAGGAAGGTTTGATTCATTCCGGAGGGCGCGCTGTTATTGATAAGAATCTTATATAAAGGAGAGATTTTTTTCATCATCTCTGTTTGCAAATCCAATTAAAAAATAATCTGAGGTAATGATAAATTGTTGTTTACTTCTTTTGATTTTTCATTTCGATCATGTCATTGAACAGCTGTTTTGTCTAGGCGTTTTCTTTAGACCTGTTCTACCTTTTGATATATGTTCTATAGTCATTGTTCAACATTCACCAGTCATTTTTACACAACCAAACTTCTAGTTCGTATTCTTGGGGTGAAACTGAACACGCTTTTTTCTATAATTTTCTTCAATGTCAAAATTAGAAGTTTGACAAGTGAAAGCCTTCTTCCGAAATCTAAATGAAGAATCAGCCTTTTTGATCTTGAGACTTCATACCGAAAAGGTTGGTCTCGGCCCTAATTGATTTTGGGCGAGACTTTTTGGAATTTTGTGCCAGGGAACTCAAGGTTTAGACTAATTTCTTATTGATAATTGTCTGGAGTCGTCCCTTGGTCATTTTGGATTTTGTTTCGGTAAGTTTGAGATTTTCTTCAGGAAATATTAACCTACAACACGTGTTCCTTTTTTTTTCAATAGGACTCTTCCGAGCAGCTTTTGGAAGTTTAAGACTTCACCTTTGGTCTAGAGTATCCCTCAATTTGAGATAAGATTATTTCTAATACTTGGGGCTCGATTTGTTTTTTTATACGAACATCGTTATAGGGTCCTAGTGCTAGGCTGTAGCTAGACATTCTTAGGCTATAGTTGGACAGTTGCTAGGCTGTATTTAGAGATATTCTAGACTGGATCTGGATTGCTCTCAGTTGGGGCTTTGGTAGCCATTCTTCAGCAACTCTCTTGGTACCACTCTTGCAGAACCACATCGAGTTCTACGTTAAACAGATACAACGTGGATAGGACTCATGACTCACTTACCATACCATAGTCTATCTAATAGTGAGACCAAACCTGTAGATAACCTCACTTTGGAAATTTCTGGATTTTCACATACATTTCACTTGTATACATGTAAGTTGCACTTTTACTATTTAGGCAAATCATATATAAATCATCTGACGCCGAATTACGTCAGTACGTGCCCCTTAAATAAAATTCTAGAATTTTACCCTGAGGTTGCCCAAAGAATAACTTTCACCTTTCTGTGTTAAATTTGCCTGTTGGTAGAGTGTAACCCATACTGTTTTTTTTAAAATCTTCCACAAGTGTTAATAAACAGTTAAAACTGTTTATTTTAAATTCATATATTCATTATTTACATTTTTTTTAATTATTCAAATATTCACAAATTAGGTACAAGCCTAATCCTAAACACCTTTTTTAATAACTTCGTGGCTACTTATTGGCGCAATAGTTAAGTCCTAATTACTTGGTGGCTACACTTTTTGGCGCCTTATTATTATTGTTATTATTTTTTAATAAAGAAAGCCAGATACATTATTGTACCTAATTAGTTGTTTTATTGTTAAGCGCTCCAATTGTACAAGTTTTGTTATAACATCAATAAGTAATCTTCCTAGTTGTCACAATTAACTTGGTGGCGCCCAAAGGTAAGATGTATACAAGTAACCCATAGACCCATGGCCTCCGGACTGATGCTGACTAGCCGTATGCAGTATAATTAGGCAATTGCCAAAATAAGTACGTTATAGTATCAGAATCCGATTTTAACCAGTCTGAAGTTCCGCTCGCCGCAACAAGCCTTAATCCGCCCGACGCAGCGGAGCTTGATTTTCTACGCTCACTTTTTGCTGAACTCGAAGACCTTAGAAGGCAAAAAGACGCCGAAGCTAAGAAAAGCTTATCGCGCGACACCAAATCTCTGAAGATTGCATCACTAAAACTGAACAAAATTTATCAACGCCTACAAAAAATATTCTAGTTTCTGTAATAGCTAGTTATGCGAAAATTTCATCAGTCAACATTAGTTACGCCACCAATCAACTTTAATCGATTCGCAAATGAAAAAAATTAGCTTCAAGAAGATAACCAGGAAATTACTTGGGAAAGAACAAGACATCGAGCAATGATCGTTAGCAGCATTTCTACCATTGGAATAATAACAGCCCTAGCCATCCGAGGTTTTACTATAAAAGACTTAGAATTGGAGTATGGATCCATAAGAGAGAAAAGCAACAAAATCAGCATCTCCCTGCAGAATCAATTGAACTACAGTCTCTACGATTATCCTGTTGAGATGGAGCAGAATGTCGAATCTCAAACATGGGTAGTTTAAGATCACACATGTAATTTTTATAATTATTGTAGCTTGAACAATAACGCTATTACATTTCCTTCCAAATGATATTCAAAGTATTTCACCATAAGAGAACCACATTTTTTGTATAAATGAAAATGGTATATAGACCACCGTACGAAATATCTTAAATAAGGAAATTAATAAGGCAACTGGTTAGCATAGCAAATCGTAATCACCTCATGGAAACATCCCAAATTATTTGATCCATCAGCAAAATATTATTAATCACACACAGTACTATTTATACTGTGTGTAATTAATAAATTTAGATTCAACTAATAATCGTTGTATCTCACTACTTTCTATCTTATCAATAGCCCTTAAATTCTTACCCATTACTGAAGAAACCAAAAACCTACATTCAGGGCTCACTCTCCTGAAACACATCAGCAGCTACGGAACACTAGATACAGGGCACAAATTTTTATTACAAAAAGTTTACAAGTAAATATAATCTTGGAAACAAATCAAGGTGAACAGTCATCGCCCCAAATAACTACCTATTTGGTAAGTAACCAATAGAAAACTCATTCTATTTTTCTTTTAGGTCGGTATTGATGAATGTTTATACGAAAACCAGGTGTGCGAAGGATCATGTACAAACACGTTGAATATAAATTCCTCGCCATATATGGTAAGTAAGTGCTTGTTTAAAATATTAATCATAATTCGATAAATAATGGCCTGTCACGACTCGAGAAGTGGTGAAACATGCTGTGGAAAATATACAAAGATAATAACAACAGTTTAAGAGGATTATGACAGCGTTGATATATTGTTTTGCTAATGCAGATTAAGGAGTACATAAAGAATATTTTTTGAGCCTTTCAAAAGGTGGATTCTGTCTTGCATTAATGTTCAGGAATCTGTTTTATAATAAATGTGAATGATAATTATTTGTGTAAACTTTGCCTGTAGGATCCATTTTTTGAGACTGAAATTGAAATATTTAATGTATAATCCACAGGTATGGCATAATATTAGGCAATCACGAAAAATAACTAAAATAACAAACGAACTAACATGTGAAATATTTACTTTGATAAAATTTGAATGTAAAACTATTATTTGTTTGCAGATAAACGCCAATAAAACTGCTTTGGTAAGCGTAAACGTGGATGTAATTGCAGAATGTACTTGTAGGGCGAGAAATTTTTCTAAAGATGAGGATTGTGAAAATACACCTTGCTTCAACGGGGGAACTTGTCTAGAAGACAAAAACTCTGTGAAATGTTTCTGTCGTGATGGGTAAGTAATTTTTAAAAGAAACAACTTTACTTGGAACAATTTGCATGCACATCTGGCATCTGGGAGAAAAAAATTGAATAACATTTGCTTACCTAATCTCCAGGTAAAGTTATCCCGAGAACTCGAAATAATTTATTACAAAAAGATTTACACAGAGTATATATTTTAAAACAACAATTATATCCAGTCACTGATATGTTCACAGATATACCGGACCTCGATGTCAACTAACCACAAGAAGTTTCGATGGCAAAGGATGGGCTTGGTACCCGGCACTAGACATGTGCGAAAAAAGCCATCTACATTTCGAATTTGTGACTAGAAAAAAAGATGGACTACTCATCTATAACGGACCAATAGTCCCTCCTAAAAAGGACGAAGTCCTGGTTTCCGATTACATTGCAGTCGAATTAAAACTCGGATACCCGAGGTTGCTGATAGATTTCGGATCAGGAACTTTGGAATTGATAGTGAAAACGAAGAAGACGCTAGACGATGGAGAATGGCATCGGTTAGATTTGTTTTGGGATATGGAAAATGTGAGAATGGTTGTGGATTTTTGCAAATCGGCTGATGTAGGTCAGTATTACCGATATAAATTAGTCTTAGTAAAAATACCGATTCAGTTATTTTTAAACTAACTTTCTATTCACTTTCAGTGGAGTCTGAAGATAGTGCTTCTCCGGAATTCAACAAAACTAGCTGTATGGCACAAGGAACGATGCCACCATTTAACGAGTACCTTAATTTAAATACGCCTCTGCAAGTGGGAGGTTTATTTATCGAGCAATTTAATTCCGGCGATTATCATTGGCAATTTATGCCTGTTGGTAATAATTTCCAAGGATGCATAAGAAATTTATTCCATAATTCCAAGCTGTACGACCTTGCTGACCTAGTTTTTCCGGAATTATCCAAACATAGTAGCGAGGGTTGTCCGCAGACTGATGAAGTGTGTCATAAATTTGAGAAAACTGAAAGGTAACTGTGATAATTAGAACTTTAAAAAAATAAGCTCAAATTATTGTAGATGTTGGGAACACGGAAGTTGCGTTAGTAGTATGAATGAAGCTAAATGCCAATGTACTCCAGGTTGGACTGGTTTGTCTTGTTCTCTACCTACAATACCAACAACCTTTCTACCACAATCGTATGTCAAATACGCTCTTAGTTTTGAACCAGACCGTTTTACCACAGAAATTCAGCTCCGTTTTAGAACTCGCGAATCTAATGGTGAATTATTCCGCATTTCTGATCAGCACAGTCGCGAATACGCGATTTTGGAAATTACAATGACGCGATTGTGTTTTCGATACAATTTAAACTCGGTTAGGACAGAAGAGAAAAATATCTGCTTGAGTGTTGTATCGGCAAACGACGGACAATGGCACGTTGCCAAAGTTTCGCGATATGGAAGTGCTGCTATACTAGAGATGAATGGTGGTGAAGGAAGGAGGTATAATGAAACCGCTTTCGAATTTAGTGGACATCAGTGGTTGATGGTTGATAAACAGGAAGGTGTATATGCTGGTGGAAAGGCGGAGTTTACTGGAGTACGAACTTTTGAAGTATATGCCGACTTTCATAAAGGTGGGTATACAAAGGCTGTTATTCATCTGCAAACATCTGAGTTTTTCAAATATTCAAGTTTATTCATTCCCAATTAGACCTCTTTTTTTTCTAATTTCTGTTGCTACTTGTCACATATCGATAGGAAAATGAGTTGATGAGTTTTTTCTCAAGGTATACATGCAGGAAATTCTAATATTGACTAGTTTAAACCAGTATTGTAATTTGTCTGGCCAGAGGCTCTGAAGATACGGGGCATCAGTAAGGAAACGTGGTTGTAGAAAAATATTACTGGTTTCATTCATAAAATACCCAGTGGCTTTCGGAAAGTTATATATCATATTGAATCTCGTACAAGACAATCGACAATGACCAATCCACCGCCACTAGATATTTCAATATAAGTCGATATTTCAAGATGGGAGGATAAAGTTACAGGCGCCATGGCCAATAGCGAGACTTAATCATGGCAACGGCGATCGTGCCAAAAATTCCACCAATCAGGTTCATCCAGGCTGCATGTTTGCCACATTGCCAAAAACTGATGGTATCTTTAGAAAATGTTTACCTTTTATAATAGACACAATTGAAGAAATATGTCAGGTATTAAATAGGAATAGAACCAACAACCACGTTAAAATATCTAGCGTTTTCTCATTATCGATATTTTGTTATTAAAAAATGAATTTTTCCTACAGCCGTGCGGAAAAATCGATTTTCCGCACTTATATGCGTGCGGAAAATGAGTTTTCTCGCACGGTGCGGTAAAACTTTTTTTTTTGACATATCAGTGTGGAAAAAGTTTTTCCGCACGGCTGTCAGTGCGGAAAAAAATTTACCGCACTGATATGTCAAAAAAAAAGAAAAATTTTACATTTTTTCGCCTGTAGGAAAAATATTGTACGTAACACTTGCGGAAAATATTTTTCCGCACTCGGCTGCATCACCGAACTCCGTTACGCGTAGTTCGGTGAACGGCAGCCGCGTGCGGACAAATTAATTTTCCGCACTTGTTAGGTAAATAGCTATTCTTATGAACATGTTGAGTATTTTCGCTTTTTTATAATGTGTCAACATCGCACATTTTCATCCAAATTTCTTCCGTAGCTTCAGATTTCCTAGCCAGACATTACACACTGACGAATACTGATGCTTATTCCAGATTTGCTCAGTGAAGACTATTATTGACGAAAGTGCTTTGCTGCGACTAGAATCGACTAGTTTTACAACAGCCTAAGATTTTGACTGAGTCTAGTATACACAGACCGATTAGTGAAGAATGGTAGTGAGTAATAGTTCCAAGAGGAGTCTTGAAAGAAGAAAAATTGGAAGACACAGAAGAAAAAACACTGCATAATACAATATCAAGAAAATTAAAGTATAGAAAACAAAACTGAACAAATAAGTGTAATAGATGAAAAAAAAATATATATATAAATAATTACAGTGAAGATGAATATGGTGAGAAAAATCTTGGAAAAAAGTCAGCTCTAAAGAAGTTTTGAATTTTGGTAAAAAAAGGAGCCAGTAAAAAGAAGACAAGCAAGGTAGACGAACCAAATTATTAAAAACATACGAACACTATGCCATGTTAACTGTTATCCTATCAAAAGGCGGTCAACGTTTGAGAAAAAGGAAATTGACTACAAGAAATAGAAAAAGAAAGCGAGTCCTTAAAAAGCAGTAAAACTAGGTATCTTGTTGATAAGTCAGGAAGGATAGGGGAATAAAAACGTCTGCATCTTATGCATCACTTGTGACTCATGTGGTACTCAACGTGTTAATAGTTTGCAAATTTAATCGGACATTATCAAATTTACCGATAATAACCCAGTTAGTTTGGGTTACATTAAAATTGCAAATTAATCCAAACTAGTTTGGTTATCTCTGATTGAACAGAAAAAGTGCAAATTTATACATTATAACATTACAATTGAAATACGACGAATTGACGTATACGACAATATAGGTAATTCGTCGTTATTATCATTTATTTTAGAAATAGAAAAAGTGCAAATTTATACATTTTAACATTATACCTGGAATACGACGAATTAACAATTATGTCAACTCTAAGTAAATACCACTCTGTACATCAAATTTACTAAAGTGTGTCGACAAGTCAGCATTTATTTGGTATAAATATAGCGCCGAAATCCATTACGCCCTTCTGGAAGTATTGAACGCCGCAGACTAGGTCCAGTGCAAACTACCTTTAATGGGAAATGCCCTTCTGGACCTGTCTCAAAGCCAGTTTCAGTCTTCAGTCACGCCAAGTGTACAGAGGGTACATTATTAATACAGAGTGGCCCATAAGTAGTACGTCCCTCCGTAGAAGAGACGTCATGATATCATTTCTAGGGTCATACTATTATTATTCAATACACATCTTATTATACCTATACCAAGCGAGTTTCTCTCTACTTGAACCCCACCTACGCCCCCAAGTCACGCTCCTGTTGTGACGTCCCAGGACGAAACGTATAGGGGTTGTGACAATACGACGAATTGACTTTACGTCGAATTGGCGTACCGATACGACGAATTGACGTATACGACAAATAGACTTTACGAGGTATTGACTTAGCGACGAAGTAACGTAAGACGAATTGATATAGACCCAAGAGAAAGATGTGTTCAACCAGTTCAACTAGCAAGTGGGTATTCAAATTGGAACATGATGAAAGATACAAGGGAATACTGGTAGGTAGTTCGAAGATGCCAACAACCATAATGGGACAGAAATTACCACAACTACATATTATTTACCCAAGTTCAACAGCTCTAAAAGTGTTGTTTGATCTAATAAATATTATAAGAAGAGATTTGACATCCAAAATAAAAAATTAACGTTTCTTCACCTGGAGCCTATAAAAAAAAATAAAAATAAAGTGTGTCGCTTACAATTTCTTCCTCACACAGGAGGAGCCTTGATGAAATGATAATTTCACACAATTATCAACTAATTTTGACCAATTTTCTCTTTGGAGTGAAGAATGTATATTTGAAAATAAGAAAAGTAATACTATTTATAATGACGATGGCTTGATAATTAAGATAGGGAGGAGAGAATAAAAAGAGAGGGACCAAAATAGGTAAAGGATAATCAAAAACAAAACAGTAGACTCAATTTTGGCAGTAGATATAGAAAGAATACACATCAAAAATAATAGAATTCAACATGAAAGAATCAGTCAGTTTCAGCTCCACTATGAATAACAGAAGTGAATAAAACAAGAAAATCAAGAATTTCTCATTTAGAGAAGATCTGTATCTGTAAGTTTGGGAGGGAGGTATACCACAGTAGGCACATTATGCACCTCCACAAGAGGAGAGGAAATCCCAAGCTCATCATACAGCTTAGCGATTTAACATAGGCGATGATGTCGTCGAGGGCGGTGCCTCTGATCTCTTATAGTGATGGGTACGATTGGCCCAATCTGACTCTACGTATTGGCGAAAGAGCGCAAAGAATGTGCTCCATCTCTTCTTGATTACAAGCCCTACATGAGGGTGTGGTGCTTAGATGCAACCTAAACAGATGCTTGTTTTACTGACAGTGGCCCGTTATTAGTCGTAGCCTTTTCTTGGTCAACAACCGTTTCTGGATTGCTGCAGCTTTATCCGGGTAGCTTAGCAGTTCCTTGGATGAGTTGCAGCGTTCTTTGATCATATCTTTGGCCGCCGGCATGGTCAGCTCCACAAACGGCTCCGGTCCAGAGGGCTGTAGCCTGGCGGCTCTCCTAGGTATATCATCGGCAGCGCGATATGCCTTTGCCGTCATCATGTCCTTTGATCCAGCTGACTACCACTCTGTGAGGATACGGTTGCAATTTTGTACTATTCAGCAGCGATGGTTATGCCAGGTATTTCCGTTTGGAGGACATTAGGCATGGAGTAAGGTTCAGTTTGAGAGTTTTGGAGTATACTCTGCATCCCGAGCCTGTCTCAGTTTTGGATCTATCAGTGTAGATGTTACTCACCCCTGCCACTGTGTTGTTACCAATGCCTTCAGTGTTGATTGCATAGTGCTTTTTAAAAACGAAATATGGCGTTGCAGATTCCAGTCTGGCTTCCAACAGTGGAAACGAGTTCGTTGCCTCGCGCCATATGCGGGCTCTCTGCAAGCTGACTTCTGCACTTGGTCCTATACCGACACTGATTGCAGTTAAAACGGCCTCCTTGATATAAATTTCCAGAGACGTCAAACAGAATTAATTCTAAAACCATACTTGGTGCGGTTTTCATGGCACCAGTTATGTTGAGGAATGTCATCACTTGAATGTTGTCTAGTTTTCGGTTAATAGTAGTCTGTTCGGCTTTATGATCCCAAACAATAGGCCCATAAGTGAGCATAAGCCTAATGATAGCTGTATAGATCCACATAACTATCTTGGGGGAGAACCCGCAGATCTTACCGATGGTACGTCATAGGCGATCTATGCTTTCTGCATTCTCTTAATAATATGAGAGTTCCAAGCTAGTTTGCAATCGAGTGTCACTCCGAGATATTTGACCTCTGCAGAAAAACTTGCGGTGTTTAAGAGTCTGAGTGCTGGCGGAAGTACCAGTTTCCTCTTTCTTGTGAATAGGATCATTTCAGTCTTTTTGCGGTTGATGGACAGAGTGTATTTCGTATTTCGTATTCAAAGAGCATCTTGCATGCGTTCGCAAACCGAGTTCTCGAATTTACCTCTTTGCAAGATGACTACTTCATTTGCATGAGCTATTCTGTACGATTCTTCTGGAAAGCATATTGAGTATCCAGCCGGTAACCTCTTCGGGAGTATTCCGTTATGTTAGCGAGTGGTTGATTTTTTCAAAGGTGGTTTTGTCAAAGCCCCCTCAATGTAGATAAATAACCCGAGGGTGGACGCTCTATTTTTCAGAAATTTTTTCACTCGCCCAGCAACCAAGTAGAGAGCTGTGTTCGTTGATCTCCTAGGGGTGCATGCATGTTGATTAGGGTGGAGTGGATTGGTTGATAACAGTTTATCTCTAATGTACTTTTCGCATAGCCTCTCTATTGGTTTAAGAGAAAAAGAGGAGATAGGGCGATATGCTTTGGGGGTGGTGTAGTTCATTTTCCCTGGTTTGGATAGGAACACCACTCTAACTTCTCTCCAAGCCTTGGGTATATATCTCAGCGCCAAAGACGCCCTGAACATCCCTACCAGGTGCGGCAAGAGTATCTTCAGGCTCCACTGAAATAAGGCTGGATAGATGCCGTCAGGTCCTGGTGTTTTGAAGGCGAAGAAGCCTGAAATTGCCCAACTAATTTTTTCCTTGTATATTATCTGGTTTGCTAGTCGCCAACCAGCCATAAAGGGTATGTATGGTCCTCTACAATTGTGATTGTGGAGTCAGGCAAGTGTGACTGTATCGATAACTCCTATTTTGAACAGAGTGCTATGAAATTTATCAAAACCGGACAATTCAATAGGGAAGTAAGCACATAAATGTAAGCCATCACTTCATAAATGAAAAGGTGAACAAGGGTGTGATAAAAATAACTGATTCTAAGATAGTAATTATATTCTGCAAACTGTCAAAATCTCAAATTATAGAACCTCTCTTTGATGATTGAAAAACGATTGAGTAGTTTACTAGCTAAAAAACCAAACTAGTTAAATATCTTCGTTTTTGCTTAGGTTGTTTAGATGACATTCGCCTTGAAGGTAAACAGTTACCACTACCTCCAAACATGAACGGTACCCAATGGGGCCAAGCAACCATGGCGAGGAACCTGAACCGAGGCTGCGCTTCAAACAAACCTTGCTCAAACATCGTTTGTCCCGAACCTTTCGAATGTGTAGACTTGTGGAACGATTTTTTGTGCACGTGAGTATCCGAATTATTGTAGGTAATAACTCAAAACATTTTATTTTACAGTTGTAGCGAAGGTCGCATCATATCAGCAGATTCCAAGGACTGCATTGATAAAAACGAGTGTGCTGACTTGCCTTGTCTCAATGGTGGCACTTGCTTCAATCTGGAACCTGCTCAACGATACCGATGTAGTTGTCCTTATGGATTCTTAGGCGAAAATTGCGAGCTAGTACAGAAAGAGCAAACGTTGAAATTGTCTTTAGGTGCCTTAGCAGTTATCTTAGTTTGCCTACTACTTTTGTTGGGTAAGAATAAATCCACTCTTAAATAGAATTAATATATTTTTGTGTCATACTATAAGGTTATATGTAATTTTCTACTAGTTTTGGTTTTGGTTTTCGTGATATGCAATCGACAGAGAAAAGCCCACAAGAAATACCCAGGACCAAACGACGACGTCAGAGAGAACATTATAAATTACGATGACGAAGGAGGTGGTGAAGATGACATGACCGCCTTTGATATTGCTCCTCTACAGATTCCTATAAATACTGAAATAGAATCAAACGACTCAGCGCGTAAGTGTTGTCACATTTTCAATTTTCGCAACAGTTGATGATTCAATCATTTTTCAGCTACTGAATATCTCGAACGAGAGGACTGCGTAGGTACTTTCATTAACCAATACACAAAGCACGATTTGAACGTACCGCCTTTTGATGATCTGAGGAATTATGCATTCGAAGGGTGTGGAAGCACTTCCGGATCACTCAGCTCGTTAGCTTCCGGTGAGTTTCTAGGATAATCGTCTAACGTCAAATTACACCAATGTCTTCCAGGTACCGACGATGAACAACAAGACTATGATTACCTGGATGCGTGGGGTCCTCGTTTCACTAAACTAGCCAGCATGTACGCTGTTCCAGTTCATAATAACAAACTCATAGAATAATGAACATGTTTCTTAAACTTTTTATAATGTACTTACTTGAGTACCTATATCTTTTTCCATTGTATGTAAAATTTATCATGTAATATAAAATTATGTTGTCTGTAAATTAATATTATTGTTAGGCTAACTGCTAACTGATTTGCAACCAGTAGTGGATTCTTGTAATATTTTGTAGAATCTGTATCAAAAATGTCATAAAATTAGATGACTGATATTGAATGCTTCGCCATCTGTGAGCCAGCAGCGACAGTGTCTCATCAATTTTTCCGAATTGAACTCGAGGAATCAATGTACAAAGTTTTACTGATTGAATTGGCCAACATTGAAATTTGTTCTGTAGGTACTGCTTAAAGTAGAGAAGAAGTTTTGTATAGAAAATGAAAGATGTCGACCAAAATAAGAGTGTGAGTGCTTTAGGAACTTTTTTTGTTCCTAGAATTAAAGTTTTATTAGATAGTCATGTGCTCTATTTTTGCTATTAGACAACCGATAGCACTACGCCATATTTCACAGCAACTTTGAATTAACACAATAAATAATCAATATTTCAAAGACAATATGTATTTCCTGAGACTGCCGATCATAGATGTCGCCAAATGCCTCCATAGCTCTATATCTAGCTTATGGGCATAGATAATGGAATTTGCATGCAGAGTATTATGAATAGTTCGAGAGTAGTTTAAAACAGTTAAGTTTACTTCAAAGATTCGTAGGAAAATACACACTTAAGGAAAGACCGCGGCGCGTCCACAGCACCACTTAAGTAAATCACGTTCAAAACTACTGTTTTAGATTGAAGATGTAGAGAAAATTTTTCGAAAAATTGATCAATAAATTTAGCTGCAAATATATAAGGGTAACTTAATTCTATTTGACCTGAAGAATTCTAAACCTGTAACAAAACGCCTATGAAGGCCATCTATAAAGGAACATTATATTCGTTTGTATTTTAGGTATCATTATTGACAGAATTGAAGAAATTAATGTTTTTCCTCATGGACACTTAAAATTACTCCAAGAAATTATTAAGAAAGTTTCTCGTAGGTATATGACTTATACAATAGACTTGAACAATGGAAATCCAATTATAGACTTTTATCAAATTGAACCTAATCTAAATGCAAAAGTTTGTAGGCAAATCTTCCAAAACTTTTGCGCAATAAAGTTTGTTCTCGATTATCTTTCTATGCTTTTGTCAAACATTTTCGCGTACTTCGAACAATGTAAACTACCTATGGCTTGGATTAAATGAGTTTTGGAATTTATATTGGAAATTAATTATCATGAGAAGGCACAGATGATATTGAAAATGGGTGATCGATAAAAAATACCGTTGGTATCTAATTTCAATCTCAAGTTGGTAAGTTTGTGCTTTTTCTTATTGTTGTTAAACAGTTTTTCTTTTTCGTGCTTATTATGTCTTGATACCTATAAATATTCTCCAAATCATGCTTTAACCGGAATTGCTTTCTATTTTTGCTTGAATGAGTACTTTTGCTTTTTCACCAAAGCATCTTGTAGACCATTCTAGCAATTCATTGGCGTTTCTCCAGTTGCATTTAAGCTCTACGAAAGTCATAATTGATGTTTTCAAAAGAGCCTACCTCAACTTTCATCCTATATCCTATAGAACTGCTCTAAGCTTAATTTCATCTCTACTAGAGCCAATAATAATGAGTCCAAGCACCACTTTTCAAATTTCAATTCTAAGAGAGCCGACACTTCGATTATCAAGCTTCTGTCGTTAAATTTTGACTCTACGAAAGTAAAAAATAAGCTTTTCAAGCCAGTTTAGCTCAACTTTCGTTTAAAAACTTCTCTAGATTCAATTTTATGTCTTCTAGGACTAGGAATAGGGTGACCAAGAACCTCTTCTCAAATGTCTGCGATCCTAAAACTTTCAAGCCTCGATAGTCAAAAATTAGCTTTTTAAACCAGTGTGGTTACAATCTACCCCCTAATGAGCTGTGGGAACTTGTCGTGGTGGGGGGGGGGGTTCAGTAACCTGCACGGACTCACTCCTTCCATAGTGAGAATCGGCGGTGAAGCTAAAGACAGCTCTCCAATGGTGAAGCAGCAAGCGCCAAGATAGCGCATGAGAGAGGGAGTGCTCTATCGCTAGTTTGCGAACTCCAGATACAGGGTGACCTCTGGTTTAATTTAGCCTTCTCACACTAATGCGGAGATCTAGTGTGAGTGACTTTTTCATTCTCTTGCCACTTGTGGGAACTAAATGAACCAAAAACAAACCAGAGGAGGACAGATATGAGCGACTTTTCCTCAACAAAACCACCATCACCGAGGGAGGAGTAGCTTCGGCAGCAGACTCCTTTCCACCCTAGTCTCGGGTACAAACAGTACTGTAAATTATAGGCAGTACCAAAATACATCGTTTGGGGAACCTCACTTGACTTGCAAATTACTTTGTGGGTGGTTTAAGATGGTAAAACTAATAATTGCGATTCATCAAAAAAAGGGTTTTTGTGAAAATATGGACATTTCCACCCTAGTCTCGGGCACAAACAGTACTGGAAATTATAGGCAGTATCAAAATCCACCGTTTGGGGAACCTCACTTGACTTGCAAATTACTTATGATGATATGAGACTTTTCTCGTCAGTTATTTCCAGGGAGAATCTTTTTGTGGAATTTATTTGGGATTGGGGGGTGGTTGTGTTTAATTCTATATTTTCCTCGCAGGATTTAGGGACATTGTCACATTTTTTCTGTTTTTTTTTTTTAGTGTTATTTAAGACAACATTGAGAGATTTGGCGGCGCCTAGAAGTGGAGAGAAGATAAGCTATGTAAGATAGGAAAACTATCAGACGAAAGTAAATTATTCCGAATAAAGCTTCGTAGATCATAGTTAATCCCCAAGGTTGATCCTGTAACTTCTCCATTTACGTATGGAATAGTCCTAGCAATTACAATTGAGCGGTTTTACCTAAAAAATAGGAAACCTAGGAATATGGACAGAAGCGTATTCCAAATCAGGAACAGTGTGTAAGCATCAATTGTATAATGAGTACCAAATGATGTAATTAAATTATACTTCGAATCAATATTATTTAAAAGATCTTTTATTGCATTTGATGTAAGGCTTAGGTGAGGAATATACAGTGTCCAATTTGTGTTGAGGCAGTGATGTTTTAGTATTTTGGTGCATCTTGTACTAATTTAGGATCCAATAGAAATGGTTTTAAATTAGACCAGGTGGCGGGTATGATATGGACAGTTTTAGGAATACTTGTAGGTAATTCAGGACAAGGAAATCTTTTTGGTATGACTATTTCACCGTCTGAATGGAGTTTCCAGTAACAGGGTAGATGGATTTCGATTAATCCTTGATGTTTGTATTGACTGGGAACCTCAGTAGACTTTTGCTTTCACGTGAGAATAGTATTTGGTTTGGGGTGTGTAATAACGTATGTTTTCTCAAGTATTTCTAAAATGATCATTGAATTTGCTGTGTGACAGCTCATCGGGCAATACTGACTTATTTTTTCGATCGTGCTGCCTTCATACAGTTTCTGGAACAATCTGGTCCCTGAATGGAATCTGCAGAAAATCTAGATATGAAATAGAGTTTTTCATGGTAGGGCTTACATTGATGAAGTCCGACACCTGAAATTTGCCTAATGTTTTTGTCCCTGGGACGGGTTCTTCCTACTGCTAAGAAAATTGCTGTATGGAGGATGGAGCACGTTTGATTGTACTAAGCAAATGGGACAGTAATAACTTCATAAAGGTGATTTTGCTTAGTTATTGGAATTTTCACATGAATAAATAGTTTGGAATTTGTGAATGAACAGTCTGATATTGGGAGTTCGAAATACTTTGAGACATCCGAAATGGGTATGGCTAGCTCCTATCCTGAATTACTTATTTCTTTTTCCTGAATTTCTAGGTCTTTGCTAAGAACGACCGGATTGCATGAAGTTATAATTGCATGCCTACGAATAATCCTTGTTAACAAAATTATCCTTTCCAAATTTTGAAATTCGTTGTAGATAGTTGACGATATCAACTGCTCCTGGTGATTGTAGGAATTGAATAATTTTTGTTGTACGCTGGCAGTATTTTGTTCTATAAACTTATTTCTTATCCTCAGTTTCTGTAGATGTTTTTGAGATTGATTTTTCATATTACTGAAAATATTTTGAATTTTCGCGTATTGTTCTGATGGTGTCAGAAAGTCCTTTTCCAATGGAATCAAGACGTTCTCTTATGGTTTTTTCGTTTTCTGTTAGCAAGTGGAATTTTTCTTGTGTTACAAGGCCACAGCACTTACCTTGCCCAATGAAATCAAGGGCTATTTTGTTTTTACTCTTCTTGGTTGATTTCATCGCGTTCATGCTACAACTGTGCACTAGATATATTAGTCCCTTAGTGAATGCTTTCGACAGTTGCTTGAATTGGTGAATTATCATGCATTCTTCTGCTTTAGCGGATAATGTAAAAATAAGCGGTTTTATATTGCTGATGTCCATTTGATTTGATAGGTTAGTGGAATTGTTGCTTCATATGTTATCGTGTCTGGTAGAGGTTGCCAAAATGCTCCTGCTGTCACTTCTATATGAAACTTTTTTTCATGTGTGCTTCCTATAGCGAAGCGTAGCGTTGCCAATCTGGAAACGATGGTTTTGCAGACGAATCGAAGTTACAATTATAATTACTGATTAATAACCGAAATTGTTTAACTTTACAAAAGGAAACGACTTGCAGTTTTTTGAAAAGTCAGTGAACTGAACTTTGAATCGAAACTTAAAATATTTCGTTCTGAAGAAAAATATTTCCTTTTGTAAATTATAAAAAACTCTGTAGCGTGACATTATTTAGAGCAAGCTTGAGACTAAATCATATTTCAAAAGCCTAGAAAGAAATCAGAGTTGTTTTCTTCCTCAAACCTGGCAAAATAGGTCATGACATTGCAAAAGCTTTAGCAAGCATAAGCCTCATGCCATTTTTGTTGAAGGCTCTAGACCAATACATCCGGACCAATATGCTTACAAAGCAGGAACCTCGACCGAAACAGCACTACATCACCTCGTCCAGCGGGTAGAAAGTCCCTTGGAAAAGAAGGAAGTTATGTTGAGAGCCTTTCTTGATATTGCCTCGCTTTTTCTGTGTTGAACAATTTAAAGTGAAAATAAATAAATAATCAATAATCAAGATTGCAAGACTGAAGGTCGAATTACGTGCAAATTATGCCATCGCTCAGAATTAAACAATTCGGAGAGTAGGGGTGGGTTTTGTTTTGGGCACCACCGACTCACGAAAGATGAGTCGGAATCTCCAGGCTTTTTATCTGGCTCCAGGTCCTTATAACTTGATTGAATTATAAAAATAAAAAATAGTATATTAAAGTATAAGTGGATATTACGCACAACTGACCACAAAACCAACT